TGCTTGCAGCTTCCAGTTTGAAGGAGAATATGGAACATGGCAGCACTGCAGGGGTGGGATGCACACATGGGGGACTGGGCATAAGGGGGAAACATATGATGCACAGGAAGGGTGATGGGTGCATCGGTGGGGGCAATTACTGGAACTGGTCCCCTTTATGGATCTCTCTGCAGCAGCTGAAAATGGCAGGGAGAGGAGAAGAAGCCAACTTTCAGCTGCTGCAGAGAGAATCATATAGGGGAACGGTTCCAGTAATTGCCATGCCGCCATGCTGATCATCCTCCCTGCCCAAATCCGATTAACTCAGCTGCTTGGGCCCCCCTGCTGGCCTGGGCCCTGTACATGAGGACTGGTGGTACTCCCTTATCCACGGTCCTGAGTGGGGGAGGGGGGCTGCAGGTAACTTTTGATTTTACCCAGACTTCAACTTTAGCTAAACGTGCCCAAATTTATGTTTGAAACTGCAAACTTTTTTTTCCCATGAGACAGAATGGATAATGCTATGTTTGCTTGAAGACTCACTTCAATTACCCAACCATGTGAAAAGCTAATTTATTTCATCTGCACATAAATAAATAATTGAAGTGAATCTTGAGTGGACATTTTTATCTCCTTAGTAAATCATCCTGATGGATCTGTGAAATGCCTTTAAAAAGCTAGCTGTAAATTGATTACAGCAATTGTCATTTTTGTTTTGATGTGTTGTTCTGTGACTCATAGATTTCACTATGTTGCTCGTTTCTGTCTACAAAAATATTGTCAGTGTTCTTCTGTTTTCAAAATTAATTGCAGACAGCCCCAAGATCCATCACTGCTGTGTTGTGATGTGTTATGTTATCTCTCTCTCTCTCTATCTATCTATCTATCTATCTAAGATAGATAGATAGATAGATAGATAGATAGATAGATAGATAGATAGATAGATAGATAGATAGATAGATAGATAGATAGAGAGATAGATAGATAGAGAGATAGATAGATAGAGAGATAGATAGAGAGATAGAGAGATAGATAGATAGATAGATAGATAGATAGATAGATAGATAGATAGATAGATAGATAGATAGAGAGAGAGAGATGGATGGATGGATGGATGGATAGATAGATAGATAGATAGATAGATAGATAGATAGATAGATAGATAATTATACAGTATGTACATTTTTTAAAGCCTTTCTCACAGTGGCAAGTAGTCTCTTTCTGCTTCTGATCTTGCATCTAGCCAGGTAAAAAAGACTATGGTTCAACAACAAAATGATCAAAGTAGGCAGTTTTACATGCTTACAGTTGCAAAATATTGTTGGTAATTGTTTTAAGGTTTAAAGGCCTTTTTTTCCCTATAAATACTTACTACCACAGATGCCACTGTACATTGTATAGCATTGGGGTCGGTTTACTAAAGGCATGCTCATTTTGCAGAGTGAATATAACTTAATGGAGTGAAACTATGTTTGCATCAATCATCTAACCATGTGCAAACAAAAATCCTGTTGGCTTTTTTTTATTATATGAGTGTGAGTACAGATGCACCTTCATTACTAAGCTAAGTGAACATATACTTTGCTAAGTAAAAAGTATCTACTAGTTAAGTAAATCAACCTTACCATATAAGACAAAGAGTCTTATGTGAAGCCATAGGGAAGTGTGTAATTACTGTCCACGTCATCAGGAACCATAGAAGAAAATGGCACTAACAGGGTTTGATCTGACCAGCTATTTCTATCACCACTACCTGAAATCCTTATCTGCCTAACAAACATATAGCTATTTATAAGGATTTGGCATACTAAAATGAAAACTCCATTTTGTTCTACAGCAACTTGAAGCCTGTATGCCAACTTTTCTCCTCTACATCTAAAAATGATCACAATTGCTAAACAGTCTTTGCTAACTGTGGTTAACATTAATGTATTTTGAAGACAAAATATACCCCGACTGAACTTAAAAAAACAGTGTTAATCAAAGACATATAAACAGTCTGTATCACATACAACATGTAATTGTTTTAGGCTACCACTGCTAAAGTGCCATGCAAACTATGCAAGCATCTCTTTTGCATGGTCTTTGCATGTAACATTTTTAAATGTGCAGCTTTTTATTAAAATACAGCAAAACTGCTAAAATGGGTAGGAAAATAGTTGGCACATGGCAAACCAGAAGAAAGTGAACTAATAAATTACTCTGATGAATTAAGGACATGAAACATGCTTTAAAAAAAAAGACGTAAAAGAATAAAAAATAGCATGTTTTTTACACTATTTAACTTTTTATAGATATTCCCCTATGGCTACAACAATATAAGAGAGTCTACACTTCATCTGTCAATATTTACCATGAAGATTCTCATGGGGCAGTGCCTGAAATAATTATTTTGCTATTGTGTTCTCCTCTTCTGGCCACCCCTAAACATTTGTGGTTAAATTCTGCAGGTGAACTGTAAGGGAAAGGCAATGTTGAGGATAGGCAGGAGACTCATTACAGTTCAAGAAACAGTTAACCACAATCTGTTCTTTTGTTTGCATGTAGAGTTAAAGTAGATTTAAACACAATTACTAAAAGCTCACATATTTTTTTAACATGATGTTAAAACAAAAATGGTTTTCAACATTTTTGATTATGTAGTCTCTAAAATAATAGCTGGTTATCGTGCCATAAAGGTCCTTGTCCAGACCCTCCCTGCTTTGTGGCAACAACTATCTACCAATTGTTCTACCTGAATTATCACCCTATCAGATCTGGCACTGATTGAAACTAAAGGGGGTCACACAATGCACAGGCACAGTCTACCATTCTCACTATCTGTAATCCAGCCCAAAGAAATGGTGTGCAGTTGACAATGGTTGAAGTACATGCAGAAAGGAAGTCGCTAAAAAGGGGACAATAAGGTCAGCAGCAAAGAGATACAAAAAAATTAAAAATAACAGTATTTTATGAAAACAATCAATTTTTACAATATATTGGCTCAATTCTTCACAGTGAGAGCTGTGAAAATGTGGAATAGACTCCCTCAAGAGTTGGTTCTGGCCAGCTCAGTGGATTACTTTAAAAAAGGCCTGGATTCTTTTTTGGATACACAGAATATAACCGGTTACTAACATTTATAGGTAAAGTTGATCCAGGGAATATCCGATTGCCTCTCGGAGGATCAGGAAGGAATGTTTTCCCCTGCAGGAGCAAATTGGATCACGCTTTGCTGGGGGTTTTTTGCCTTCCTCTGAATCAACTCTGGTTATAGGATTATAACTTTTGTTTTTTTTTTTTTTAATGGTTGAACTGGATGGATTTTAGTCTTTTTTCAGCCAGACTAACTATGTAATTCACAAAAACTTCAGCACAAGAATAAGGGTTCTTTTTTTTTTTTTAAAAAGTTACAGTTATTTTCAGTTGAGTCAAATGAGATTTATGATTACAGTCACTTGACTAAAAATAAAGATCCTTATCCTTGTGTTTAAGGTTTGCAAATTGAGCCTGTAGTATTTTATCAAACTTATTCAATAAATCTGGCCAAACATGTGTAGATGTCTCCATCCATCCTAAAGGAATGGATAAAGGAATTTCTGCTGCTGGCTATTGTATTCGGGTGGTATGTAGGCATTGTTCAGGCAAAAAGATTTCCTACCAGCTCCTTCAACAAAAGTCAATATTTTGGCCAACAGGGCCATCTACAGCTCAAGTTTCATCCATTTCACTAGGAACCATCCAAAATTCAAACCATATATGGCCACCTATAGCTTACTACTATCTGCTTTAAAGGTTGTTGTTAATGTAAAGTAGATTTTATTCTTTCTTAAACAGCATATACCAGCATTGTTTTTACTAAAATATTCATATGACTCAAGGATTGAAGCTTATACTTAAGGTCAATCTCATTTGTGACTAGAGCAGTATGACATTAAAATATAGCACATCACAGCGTTAATCTTGGTGGTACTGGAAGAGACTCAGGAATGATGATATGACAAAAAAGGTAAGCCCATTTTGAATTTACACTTTAATAATTGGCCCCAAATCTTTATTCCTCTTAAGTTTTTGGACAGCTAAAAAGTAATTTGTCCTGACAATGTAACAGCATATGGTGATGTTGTATAGGGAAAAGAAAAAATATAAAAGTACCAGCTTAATACAGAAAGGAATAAATTAAGCACAAAGTAAACAAATAAAATAAAAAAAAAAAACAGCTGGAGCAGCAAGTATGTACACACCTGCTCCGTTTTCCTTGTGGAATGTTTTCGAGTAATTGAATGCCTCGCTGCCTGGAGGTTGTTCATAGGTGTACGCTAATTTAATTTGACAAACTACAAGTATAAATGACATGCTCATCATCATTTTTATTTCATCTAGAGTCCTTAGCATGCTACATTAACCTGACAATGTTTACTCTTGGGCTCATTTAACAATGCAATTCATGCAGTTCACATACTGTTTGTAATATTACATATGCTCAGTTCTTTCAGAACAAATAGATAGGGTGATATCTGTAAAGGTCACATATTTTCTTTTCTTCCTTTGTCTGTGACATACACTTAACACCATTTGTCATGTTACATAATACATGGAAAAGCAACAATTTACCAATCATATTAAATAGGTCATGGAAAAATTCCATGGAGTGAAGTTTTTTCTTTGTCTTTAGGGTCATCACTGGGATATACCAACACTTGGGTTGATGATGTGGATAATGTGCATAGTCCCTAACTGCAAATGCATTCATGGGTGTTGACATTTTATTGCTTAGTTAAGTGCAATGATTATGGCATAAATAAGGCAGTTCTCTTGAATGAGAGATAGCGTCCACAGTCATATATACAATTTGCCTGTCACCTTGTTGGTTAGGAAGAAGTGTTGAGGATTCTGGAGTCTGCTGAGTCTGATCTCTCCTCATAGTCCTCCTCTGTGTAAATGGGTTGTTTCACTACAATGGGGCAGTTGTCCTCTGGAACAGAGATCCTTGGGTCCTCAGGAGCTCTAGGAGGAAGGACAGGTGAACTCCTAAAGACTGTGGTAGGGTTGCCAGAAAAGGGACTGACATACTGTGATCTAAGCTGGTACTGCTGCTGTAGGGTCATAGTGTTCCACAAGGTAACATCATTGGGCAGGAAAGGACTAGACTGGTTTCTTGCCAAAGTGTTTCTCAGGAGGAGAGGGTACCTTGGAGGTTGCGGGAAAGGATGCTGTAGGGGCACAGCTAAGGGATTTGTTACCACATTGCTGGAATCTGCAGAAAATCGTAGCGTGTCAGGTACTCTGAAAGCTGACCCTACTGACCACTTGGAGGATGATAGGGGGGGGGTAGGAGCTAAGGGTGTGTTCAAATAAATGGCCATTAGGTGGTAACACAATGCTGTCAGGTTCTGTTGTAGTTCTCTCACCAGTCACAGAGGATCGGCTTGACAGAAGAACTTCCACAGCCCCAACAAGGTCACCTCCACACCCCTTCAATATCAGTTCTAGCACAGTGGGCTTCTGGCTTGGAAATATCTTTTTCAGGACCTCAAGAGGAGGTCTGTTGGATTTCAGGTTGAAAGGCAAAGACACAGTACCAGATGAGCCCTCAATCAGAAGATGGTTGTGTTCAGCCTGGTACTTTGGGCTCTCAGAGGTACTTTCTGCACTGCTGCAATTTTTCCGCACTGGATAACCTGTTTCATCCACTGACACCACCTCTGGACTCTCTGGGGTACAGCAGGGCTTCACATCAGGAGGGGACCTCTGATCTGTGTCCTTGTCACTGTAGCTTTCACCATTTTCTGTACCACTGCTGTCACCTAGCCTCTCTTCAGACACATCTGCCAGACCAAAAAACAGACAACATTAGTAAACTATAGAGAGCATGAAAAATATTAAGGTTCCTCCACTCAAGCAGGATATCTGAAGTGTGAAATACATTTAACTGAAGCCAATTAAATGTGAATTTGTTTACATTAGACTAGCTCAGTTCAACATTACGTTACTATTTCTACCTTTTTTAAGATATTTCACTTCAATATGTAACTGGTAGACTAAATACTGTATTTGTTTGGCACTTTGGGTAGATTATATTTTATCAGTTGTAGAGGGAGACTCATTGGTAGTGCTGCAAATATTTCAGCATTACTATTTATAAGATTACATATATATATAGTACATTGCTGATGCAAGGGAATAATTGAGGTAGCTACCAGTATATTATTATATATAGTTGGGTTCTTCTAGCTTCTTGGTCAGGTTCCAGTACAACATTCTACCTTGTCAATATGTACAAAGCAATATTTGTCAAGGTGGACAGCAAATAATAACTTTACATTCCTAAAATAATAGTGCAATCAATCCAAGCGTACATACTCAAAGACAAATAAAAAAAAAATATCCTAGATTGTAAGCTCCAAGGAGCAGGGCCCTCCTATCCCTCTTGTATTGAACTGCATTATTGCTGTATTGTATCCCGTTGTATTGTAAAGCGCTGAGCAAACTGTTGGCGCTATATAAATCTTGTATTATAATAATAATATAATTATTTATTTATATGCACTGTATACATACAAAACACACACCAAAGCAATACTGTGCTAGATTTTCAATGTATAAGAATAATCATAGATGTTTAGAAATATACATGGATCACAGAAGTGCCAAAAATATAGATAGATAGATAGATAGATAGATAGATAGATAGATAGATAGATAGAAATAGATAATATTAAAGATAGATAGATAGATAGATAGATAGATAGATAGATAGATAGATAGATAGAATTAAATAGATAATATTAAAAGATAGATGATAGATAGATAGATAGATAGATAGATAGATAGATAGATAATAGATTAAATAGATATTATAGAGATAGATGGATAGATAGATAGATAGATAGATAGATAGATAGATAGATAGATAGATAGATAGATAGATAGATAGAATTAAATAGATAATATTAAAGATAGATAGATAGATAGATAGATAGATAGATAGATAGAATTAAATAGATAATATTAAAGATAGATAGATAGATAGATAGATAGATAGATAGATAGATAGAATTAATATAGATAATATTAAAGATAGATAGATAGATAGATAGATAGATAGATAGATAGATAGATAGAATTAAATAGATATTATTAGAGATAGATGGATAGAGAGATAGATAGATAGATAGATAGATAGATAGATAGATAGATAGATAGATAATCTGATCTAATGATACTTGTTTTCATTCTTGGATCCTCAAGCTGAATGTAGAATACATGTCATGGATCTTCTAGAGCTGCCATCAGGAAGGCTGCTGACAGTGGCTCTTTGCGATAATAAGATGAAGCGTGCTAATCATAAATTGTAATGTCTTATAAGCAATAATTGTGTCTCCCATGATAAATATTTATATTGCACAATCTGGCAGCACAATGTAAAACATTTGCTGAAGTGTGTCTCCTCAGCCAAAGTGATTCATTTATTCCCACTGTATAGGAAAGGAGGATCCAGCACCATTGAATGCACGCTGTTTAGAAATACTCAGAAATGGCTCATAACAGATCACCCCACATATCTGAGCACTGCATAGTACATCTGTAGCAGTCACTGGACGTGGGGTCCGGTGTGTGGAGCAGGTAATAAAGCGCAGATCCCATGTACCGGCCACTGACAGTCTCTGCTCTAGGTGGAGTTCTTTAGTACAAAATAGTGGGAAAAGCGGGACTGTACAATTCTAATAAGTAGACTAAACTAGAATAGGACGAAGATAATTTGACTATAATTCACTATTATTATTATTATTATTATTAATATTATTATGTTATTATTATAATAATATGTGAATAGTGTTGTGTTCATGAAAATTTAAATAGTTCATATTGCAGGTCATTTTACTATTATTTATTTATTTGTGATTAGTATTATTTTGCATCTATATTTTTATGCATTATATTTTTAAATTAAACTAGAAATGAGTATAGGTCAGTCTAATAATAACAATTGTTGTTGTTATTTTTTTTATTATCATCATTACTATTATTACTTTACACGCATATTGTTTGAAAAGTGCTCTGTTAAATATAACAATGGATAAGACATATATGCTTTTTTAGACAATATCTGTCTATCTCTATCTATCTATCTATATATCTATCTATTATTATCTATCTACTATTTATCTATCTATCTATCTATCTATCTATCTATCTATCTATCTATCTATCTATCTACCTATCTATCCATTATTATTCATATAGCGTTTTTTAAATAAATAAATAATTTTAAATAGCAACAACAATAATAACTAATATTATCATTTATATTATTATTAATATTTATTATTAACTTGTTTTGTGTGCAGTACTTTTTTAAAATAAAACTATGGATACGTCATAGGTTATTTTACTGGACATTAATAATTGCAGTACTATTTTATAACTATATTATATTAGCATTCCCATATATTGTTTCCTAATAAAACAAGGATATATCATAGATGATTGTGCTGAATTATTACTATTATTTTATTATTATTGCTGTTATTACCGTTATTATTATTATTATTTTTTATAATACATGTATAGTGTTTTCTTAATATAACTAGGATAGGTAATTGGTGATATTACTATTGTTATGATTACGTTTCAAGCCCCTGCAATACATTGAAGAACAGATTGGATTTGTTAAACGAAGTTGCTCTCTTTCTTTCTTTCTTTTTTCCATCTTTTTTTCGCTGCTTTTTTTCCTAAACTGCAGGAATTCAGTTCAGATCTGCTCTGCTAATTGTACTGTAGATTGTCTGTTTTGTTTTTTTGTATTTTCTCATGTGCAGACTTCTGCTAGCAAAGCAACGATACAGTGTTATAATTTAGAGTTAGATCCAGATTTGTAAATGAAATATTGCACACATGGTAATAAAAGGTTCATAAATGTAAAAATGAATTAGGAGGAAGAAAACGGAAAGAAAGAAAGAAAGAAAGAAAGAAAGAAAGAAAAGAAAGAAGAAAGAAAGAAAAGAAGAGAGAGAGAGAGAGAGAGAGAGAGAGGAGAGGGAGGAGGAAGAGAGAGAGAGAGAAAGAAAGAAAGAAAGAAAGAAAGAAAAGAAAGAAAGAAAGAAAAAAGAAAGAAAGAAAGAAAGAAAGAAAAGAAAGAAAGAAAGAAAGAAAGAAAGAAAGAAAGAAAGAGAAAGAAAGAAAGAAAGAAAGAAAGGTAAATGTGTATACGCTTTTTTGTAGTAAGTAGAACAGGTGTGAAGACTGAAAGCAGTGATGGAGCTGATATGGGATGAGTTCTGGGAAGCTGTGGCAGTGTTGAATAGGGTTCCTGGCGGAATGCCCCATCAGTGGTCAGCCGCTATGTTCTACAAATAAGCTGGTAACTTTTCATTGGAGTCTGACCTTCTCCTGAAGTGCTTGCTATTACACTGTCTCCCTGAAATGACTGTAATCTTTTATGAAATGCATAGATCATCAGCGGATGGTGGTGGTCAGGAGCAGTACCATAAATATGTGGAGTGAAGGCAGCTGTACATCAGCTGAGTCACATTCCTATAGAAGAAGACACTGGGGACACTCATTGCTTTTACCAGACTGGGACATGGAGCAGAGCCATTATCCCTACTGAAAAGATTGTCGTACACCGCCACTAGCAGTGTATGGTCTGTGTAATGACTATTTGTGTCCCTCTGAAGAGCTAATCATGGGGCATGTACCACCAAGCCAATGCCAGTTGTCCCCTATGGGACTACCAAGTAACATAAATAAATTAGCTCAGCAAGCTCCCAGAGCTCTAACTAATCAAGTGATCCTTCTATAGAAGAGACGGCTGGTCTCTCTGGGATCAATGTGCTCATATTGGTGAGACATCAGAATATAAGTCTGGAGACATATTTCTATGTAGAAACTGCAATCTATGCCAACAGAATCTTGTGCTCCAAAAGGACTATTCCCAACTTACAGATCATGGATGGGTCATGGATGGCGATATATTTTAATGTACAGCTCACCTGCAAGACATACATTCTATGTAACAATGTATAAAAAACGGAAAAGAAAGAAAAAGAAAGAAAGAAAGAAAAGAAAGAAAGAAAGAAAGAAAGAAAGAAAGAAAGAAAGAAAGAAAGAAAGAAAGAAAGAAAAATAATTTGTAGATAGATAATATATATTAATATTTTTAGTATGCAAACGTGTATTCTTTCTTTCTTTCTTTCTTTCTTTCTTTCTTCCTTCCCTTCTTTTTATCTTTTCTTTCTTTCTTTCTTTCTTTCTTTCTTCCTTCTCTTATTTCTTTTTCTTTCTTTCTTTTCTTACTTTCCTCCTTTCTTTTTTCCTTCTTTCTTCTTCTCTTCTTTCTTTTCTTTCTTTCTTTCTTTCTTTCTTTCTTTCTTTCTTTCTTTCTTTCTTTCTTTCTTTCTTTCTTTCTTTCTTTCTTCCCTTTTTCTTCCCTTCTTTCTTTTCCTTCCTTCTTTCTCTTTCTTTTTTTCTTTTCCTTCTTTCTTTCTTCTTCCCTGTTTCTTCCTTCTTTCTTTCTTTCTTTCTTTCTTTCTTTCCTTTCTTTTTTCCTTCTTTCTTTCTTTCTTTCTTTCTTTCTTCCCTTCTTTCTTTTTTTCCTTCCTTCTTTCTTTCTTTCTTTCTTTCTTTCATTTTTTTTCCTTCTTTCTTTCTTTCTTTCTTTCTTTCTTTTCTTTTCCAATCTTCTTATAAACATTTTTAGAAGGCCATTTTTCGTAGCGGATATTTTTTTAATTTCCCTGTTTCTTCCTTTCTTTCTTTCTTTCTTTTTCTTCTTTCTTTCTTTCTCTTTCTTTCTTTCTTTCTTTCTTTCCTTTCTTTTCCTTCTTTCTTTCTTCTTTCTCTTCTTTCTTTTCCTTCCTTCTTTCTTTCTTTCTTTCTTTTTTCCTTTCTTTTCTTTCTTCTTTCTTTCTTTCTTTCTTTCTTTCTTTCTTTTCTTTTCCAATCTTCTTATAAACATTTTTAGAAGGCCATTTTTCGTAGCGGATATTTTTTTAATTTTCTTTCTTTTTCATGCTTTAATTCTCTTGTATTTCAGCCTTTCCTTCTTAATGTTATACTTTTTTTTCCATGTGTGCAATATTTAATTGACAAGTATGGATCTAATATTATTATTATACAGGATTTATATAGCGCCAACAGTTTGCTCAGCGCTGTACATTATAAATGATCCTTATACCCTTTCTTTTCTTTCATCACGCATATAATTAGTAATAGTAGATACCATAGCTAGAGTTCCTATCTAACAACAACAACTATATCGTTCTTCATATTCCATACACGGAGTGACCCAGCAGAAAACGACTGGGGATTTACAATATTGGCATGATAACTGTTCTATCATTGATGTGTCCCCCCCCACGGGGAATTGCTAATTGACCCAGTGTGAGTACTGTGTGCTGGCCGGCAGGGTGTCTGTCATCATGGGGCTGGTGTGTATGGGAAGTACATAAGAGCAAGCACAGAGGCTCCAGTAACCTGATCCCCCCACTCCTCATGACATGTTTTGGCACAAGCCGAGACTACACTTGATTTGCTTTTTGAGCAATTTGACACGCTTCACTTCTTGTCTCCTCCTGAAAAGGGGTCTGGAGACGTTCAATCCTTCATAATCAGATAAAGCACATCAGTCATACTCGAGAGCATCCTTATAATTGTGAATATTAAGTATTGTAACCCCAGAACACCGACCATTCCCGGGTATGAAGGATCGCAGACAACTATAACTTAAACTGGCCATACATTATACAATTTGATTGTGCAATCCCCTTTGGGTTTACCAAAACAATGTAATATAGGGACAAAACTAAACATTCCACTCGATTTGTAGCAAATCAGGCAGGCCCTTGCACTACTAAATTAATAAGAGATCCAAAAGACATTGGACAATCAGATTGCATAGTGTATGGTCAGCCTTTTGTGCAAATGAAATGTAGGACGAAGAGTTTATGTCTGTGCCAAAGAAACATTTATGTCAATCAGTTTTCATATCTAATATATATCCAGGAAAGAAATGTGGATTACTTATACAACACAACAGATAGGGTTTAGATTAGTAGCAGCTTTTGCAGACAGAATCTGACCAGTTCCACGGTCGTGGTTATAATTTCTGTGGCCCCTCTAGTATTTTAATAAAATGTTAATCTGTGTTAATCAGTTTTTGGTTTTAACTAACCAATACTAGTATTAGATAACCCATCTAGCACGTGATTGCCTTTTCTTAGATGTGACCTAGCCTGTAGAATGGATGATCTGTTCTTAGTAAAATAATAAAACCTGTACTGCTATGATTATATTGTATTATTATTATCATTATTATTATTTGTACTAAGAACTAATAATTATTACTAATATTAATTATTATTATCATTATGAAATAATAATACACCAGACAATAAATTATGAAATACTGTGTGGGCAAATTACTGCAGACCATACTTGTGTTCCCAGCCCAACCTTTCATATAAAAAAGACCAAAAAAATAAATGAACGGATTATTAAATGAACATATAATATATGAATGGATGAATGGATGAATGAATAAAAACGATATAAACATATGATGGATGAATAAATAAACATATAAAAACATATAAAAATATGAATGGATGAATGAATAAACAAATATATGGACGGATGAATAAATGAACATACAAACATATGAATGGATGAATGAATAAACAAATATATGGACGGATGAATAAATGAACATATAAAAATATGAATGGATGAATGAATAAACAAATATATGGACGGATGAATAAATTAACATACAAACATATGAATGGATGAATGAATAAACAAATATATGGACGGATGAATAAATGAACATATAAATATATGAATGGATGAATGAATAAACGAATATATGGATGGATGAATAAATGACTGAACGAATTAATGAATGAACAAACGAAAATATAGATGGATGAATTCATAAATAGACCGAAGAAAGAATTAATGAATGAATGTATGTATGAAAGAATGAAGGAATATATGGGTGGATGAATGAATATATGGACCAATGGATGGGTGAATGGATGGATGAAGAAATATAGGAATGTGTGTGCTTTAGAAATGGTGTATTATGCTGAATGGTGATTAACCCTGTGCCCCCATGTAGCCAATAGCAGTGCCCCTATACCCACCTGTTTTCACTGGAACTTGTATAGTAGAGGAAGGCTCCTGTGCCCATCGGATGGTCATCTCGCCTGGTCTGGAGGTTGCCTGACTGGTGTCGGCTGGCAGTGTGGTTGGCAGTCCTGGCACAGTCCGTAGAGTATCTGGTATGAGGCTCTCCAGACTCTCGTTGGCTTGCTGCCTCCTGAGTGCCACCTGAGCCGCCATGACCCTCTGCCGCTCAATGATCAGGATACATTTCTCGCAGGTGCAGTCCTTGAAGCGGCAGTAGCGCTTGTGCCCTTTCAGCCAGGAGAGCACCCCATGGTTCCTGCAGCGGGCACATTTGGGGGTCCTCTGTAGAGGGGCGAGGCTGGGACACCGGTCCCCCCATGTACAGGTAGGGAGAGCCGTACCCGTTCATGGCTTTCACAGCGCTGAGCCCTGGGGTCTACACCAGGAGGTAGGAAAGGGGGCTACACAACACTCCCCCTTGTCTGCATTCCTGCTATGGGAGCTTTTCTGGAGCCTGATCTGGTTCCCCTGAGCAGATCTTCCCTTTAGAATCACTAATCCTTGGCATGGATTACAAATCAGAACGATCTAGGGATGATATGTCCTGCAGATGATGTCCTCATAGGGTGGAGACAGGTAGCCCCATGGAATGTCTCTGGATCAGGATACAGGACTAGGACACAGTGCTCTAGGCGATGCTTCCTGTGCTCTGTCCATGTGTGCAGGAGATGTGAGGATTTGTAGCAGCTCCCTCCCTTCTCTAACCCATCCCCGCCTCTCCAGCACAGATTATCATTACATTCATATTACACCCCATACAAATGCATACTGACCTTTAGATTCCCCTTCATAGCCCCAATATAAGGCATACACTAACCTTGTCTATCAACCTGCAGGCATTCTTTGTTACAAAAATGTCAAATAATTTCTGATGGTTGCCCAGGACTACAGAACTATGTTTTTACATACTATTCTTATTAGTAGTGTATATCTGACAGATCCAGCTCTTTGATTAAAAAACCCCCCAAAAAACCCCAAATGTTTCTTTATTGTAGGCAATGGCATTGGTACAATGGACATAAACATCAGGATAAAAGAATACAGATGTTGACAGCTCTTCATTTTTAGATCATGTACTTAAAGATTGTACTTTAGAATCCTTAGAACCAGTACAACCATTCACCTTAATATTACCCATTACATACAGAACTAGAAAATACATATATAGCACACTGTAGAATGAACAGCAAGCATTTCAAGTGGAACTACACAGCATCTGAGCACCATAAACCAAAAACGCTATATATTAATATTCAAAGCAAACTCTCTCATCCATCCATGTCTCCATGTTTTATTCTGCTGAAAAATCACATTGAGAAACAGCCCCCCTATAGCATTTCTGGCCATGGCCATATCGAGTAAGGGTGGATGTTTCATGAAGCATTTATGCAGCAAAACCGGAGTGGACAGTCACATTATGAAATCAGGGTGGTCGTGTCCTCTCAGTGAAATGGGATTTTTGTCATGTAGCATTTACTTTCTGGATACCGTCTGCCCTTAGCTCAGGCATGCAGACAAGACAAGAAGGTGTGCTTAGCTGAGAAAACACCTCCTGAAAACTCCTGGGAAGCATGCCATCATTTGCCTAGGCCTGGAAACCAGGACGCAACTGAAGAAATGTAAAAAAAAAAGTATAAAACAAGTACAAATACTTCTATATTTATTTACTAATGCTAGCAGCATAATGATTGAAAATAGTCAATGCTGATTAGCATGAAGGTTAATGTAAGAGAATAAACAGGTGGCCAGGGGCGGACTGACAACTCATGGGGCCCCCAGGCAATAGGGGATCATGGGGCCCCTGTGTCCTTGCTGAAACTCAAAAAAGCCTATGAAAAAGGTACCAGGGGTATCTCATGGGGCCCCCTACTGTCCCGGGCCCTCGGGCAGTGCCTGAGTTTCCAAATGGTCAGTCCACCCCTGCAGGTGGTGCACACACCTAGTGCATTATCCAAGGTTTATTGAAAGGTATGAAAAGTAAAAACATACTCACAGACGAAGCATGTATCTAAAAAGCATTTGCATAATGACGATGGCCACAATGGCAAGCAAGGTGTTCCAACTGTCAGTGCGGTCAAATGGCTGACGCGTTTTGGGGACGAATCCCTTTCCTCAGAGCTACTGACCAGCCTGTATGAAGGTCAAGCGGTAAATAACCATGGCTAGATGCCTTGGGAGAAGAGCCCCACCTCCTCTACTTGTTATAGGGCGAGGCGTTGGAAGGGGTTACTTAAAGTGCAATATTTGGTCATTTCTATAAACAAATATACATAAATATATATATATATATATATACACATGCACATACACATATACATAAATACATATATGCACTGAAAGAGAAAGCGAATAGGAAAAATTATATATACATGAATGCATCATTTACAAATGTAAATAAATAAAAATAAATATAAAAATAATCGTAGTAATAATACTGTCAACAATGATAAAAATAGAGATAAAAATATAACAGTAAAAACAAGTAGAGGAGGTGGGGCTCTGCTCCGAAGGCATCTAGCCATGGTTATTTACCGCTTGACCTTCATACAGGCTAGTCAGTAGTTCTGAGGAAAGGGATTCGTCCCCGAAACGCGTCAGCCATTTGACGCACTGACAGTTGGAACACCTTGCTTGCCGTTGTGGCCATCGTCATTATGCAAATGCTTTTTAGATACATGCTTCGTCTGTGAGTATGTTTTTACTTTTCATACCTTTGAATAAACCTTGGATAATGCACTAGGTGTGTGCGCCACCTGATTATTCTCTATCTAGTGGCTGATCTCCCCGTCTGAGGAGGGCTGCACCCCTGAAGCATTTCCTTTGGTTGTTGCTGTCCTGGTTCCCTTGGCTTCCCTTTTGGCTGTGCATTTCCTGAGGCGCTGGAGAGTATGATATCTGGTTCGCTTTCATGTAACCCATAGCATCTTTAAAAAAAAAACCAGAAACAAATCACCTGCTCAGATCAGTAAAATAATTATGATCAGTTGCTATGGATTATGGTGATAGTACAAGGTGAATAATGATTGGTTGCTATGTAATAGTAGAAGGTGAATTATGATCGGTTGCTATGGGTTACAGTGATAGTACAAGGTGAATAATGATTGGTTGCTATGTAATAGTACAAGGTGAATTATGACCGATTGCTATGGGTTACAGTGATAGTACAATGTGCATTATGATCGGTTGCTATGGGTTACGGTGATAGTACAAGGTGAATTATGACCGATTGCTATGGGTTACGGTGATAGTACAATGTGCATTGTGATCGGTTGCTATGGGTTACAGTAATAGTACAAAGGTGAATTATGACCCATTGCTATGGGTTACGGTGATAGTACAATGTGCATTATGATCAGTTCCTGAGGGTTACGGTGATAGTACAAGGTGAATTATGACCAGGGACGGACTGACAACTCATGTGGTCCCCCCGGGCAATAGGGGATCATGGGGCCCCTGTGTCCTTGCCCACACTCAAAGCACACCCAAAAAAGCCTATAAAAAAGTACCAGGGGCATTTCATGGGGCCCCCTACTGACCCCGGGCCCTTGGGCAGTGCCAGAGTGCTTGAATGATCAGTCCGCCCCTGATTATGACCGATTGCTATGGGTTACGGTGATAGTACAATGTGCATTGTGATCGGTTGTTATGGGTTACGGTGATAGTACAATGTGCATTGTGATCGGTTGTTATGGGTTACGGTGATAGTACAAGGTAAATTATGACCGAATGCTATGGGTTACGGTGATAGTACAATGTGCATTGTGATCGGTTGTTATGGGTTACGGTGATAGTACAAGGTAAATTATGATGACCGAATGCTATGGGTTACGGTGATAGTACAATGTGCATTGTGATCGGTTGTTATGGGTTACGGTAATAGTATAAGGTGAATTATGACTGATTGCTATTGGTTACGGTGATAGTACAATGTGCATTATGATCGGTTGCTATCGGTTATGGTAATAGTACAAGGTGAATTATGATCAGTTGCTATGGGTTACTGTAAATAAGAACTAAAAATACTTTTTAGTAAATAATTTTGGATTAAAATACCAATTTTTTGGATTAATCAGGGAGAATCAGCAAATATATGATCTGGTGATTATCCCTGATTAAAAAATTCCTGTACCAATCCTGCCGGACAGCCAAAGTAGGGCTCAATTATTCTGGAGGAGAGGACTCAGAACATACATGAATTGTTTTATAAGAGGTCTGTAGGGTTAGCTCTTGCAGGTACACTTTCTTGTTAGGTGATACTCTGGGAAAAAGGGTGAATAGGTGGCATTAACATTGAAAAAACACCTAGCAAGTATATATACCTTTTATACTTTTATCATTTTTTTTTGTGTTTGCATTATATTATTATTATTATTATTATTCAGGATTTATGTAGCTGCAACAGTTTGGGCATCGCTTTACAATATTATATAGAATGTTTAGTAAATTTTGTATAGATTTTTTGTAATTTATAGAATTTTTTGTAATTTTTATTTAACTAAAAAAATGTTCACTTTAACCTGTGTGCGTTTCAAATAATTCCAAGTACCCAATCAAATTTTGTGTAAATTCATAAATGTTTAATTTCCCTGAGCCTGATCAAGTAAGTGTCTAGGTAATGTACAAAATACATTTGTAGAAAATACAATAAGCAGCTAATAATCTGTTCGAGAAATGATCTCTATTGCTTAAAGTAACCAATCAGATTGTTACACTTAGATTCCATCTTTGAATATTCGAGTTTAAGTTGGAAGATGATTGGCTGCAGCAGACAACAGCTCCCTTCATTATTTTTTCCCCTTTGTATGCACGAATTGATTTCCATTTTAGAAGGGTGATGACAATACTAAAATGTGTTAATTCGTTTCTAAAGGGAACAAATAAACAGAATGATGAGTATCTTTGTATCTCTGGGGTGTGTGGAATAATTGTAGCTGTGCAGAGAAATGTATGCATAGATCTTGTGTAATTATTGTTTATAAAGTAAAAACATGCAGTGGTGGGCTGTGTACATC